CACATGCATTTGGCCCACCTGGCCCATTTTTATCCCATATGGGGCCCATATGGGTAGCCCATCTGTAGCCCATGTCCCACGTGGGCCCATCTGGCCCATGTTCACCGCATATGGGACCCACATGGGACGCCCATCTCCAGCCCACATGCGTTTGGCCCACCTGGCTCATTTTTATCCCTTATGGGGCCCATATGGGTAGCCCATCTGTAGCCCATGTCCCACGTGGGCCCATCTGGGACCCACATGGGATGCCCATCTCCAGCCCACATGCGTTTGGCCCACCTGGCCCATTTTCATCTCACATGGGGCCCATATGGGTAGCCCATCTGTAGCCCATGTCCCACTGGGCCCATCTGGCCCATGTTTACCCCATATGGGACCCACATGGGATGCCCATCTCCAGCCCACATGCGTTTGGCCCACCTGGCCCATTTTTATCCCATATGGGGCCATATGGGTTGCCCATCTGTAGCCCATGTCCCACGTGAGCCCATCTGGCCCATGTTCACCCCATATGGGACCCACATGGGATGCCCATCTCCAGCCCACATGCGTTTGGCCCACCTGGCCCATTTTTATCCCCTATGGGGCCCATATGGGTAGCCCATCTGTAGCCCATGTCCCACGTGGGCCCATCTGGCCCATGTTCACCCCATATGGGACCCACATGGGATGCCCATCTCCAGCCCACATGCGTTTGGCCCACCTGGCCCATTTTTATCCCATATGGGGCCCATGTGGGTAGCCCATCTGTAGCCCATGTCCCACGTGGGCCCATCTGGCCCATGTTCACCCCATATGGGACCCATGTGGGCATGTTTGCTGGGGCTCAGCCCATATGGGACCCAGATTTAGCCCAGATAATAGCCCACATGTAGCCCATGCCCACTTAAGCCCAGATGCCCCACTTTCAGTCCATATGGGCCCCATTTGGGAAGGCTGGCTGGGACGTGACCTCGAGGTCATCATGTATATCATTCGATGCGTCTTGACGAGCTGAACACAATGAGACCATCCACGCGTCTGTATCTTGTTCCTGTACGGAGTTATTGGCCAAAAACCTTTGGTGACCTTTGATGACGTCACATGACCTCACAGCTGCCCAACAGCAAAACAGACCTCAAGGTAGTGAAGGTTGATCATATATGAAGTCATGTATGGTATATGGGGCCATTCCGACCCGTTTTAGTGGTAAAAACAGGGAGTTGATTTTTCCCCCATTGACTTATAATGGGGAGGTCGCGAAATTGACCTGACCTTAGGTCACCGATATCAAAATCCGAGATATACAAATGGTAGCTACTAATGACCTAATAACATCCTGCGACTTTCAAAGGCCTCCGACATCTACTGTAGCTCTGGCACGGTGACAAAGTTGCAAAAAAGTGACTTGAGGTTGGGTCATTCAAAGTGACCTGGTGACCTAACCTTAAAAGGTAGGAGGTTCAAACTCGCACACCATGTGTAAAATTGATGAGGTTATAGTCATACCAAATTTCGCGGCGCTACGCGCCGCGGTTTTCCCGCTATTCGCGAAAAACCTCAGGGGGGGGGGCGGATGTCCGCCCCCCGTCGGTGCGCGGGTTAACAGCTCCCAAACCAGTCTTTGAGGGTCCTACACTGATCTCGGAGGGCCCTTCAGTGGCGGTCAAGCGCCCACATTGACCGCTGAGAACCCACATTGACCTCATTTGAGGGCCCCTAAACCGGCCTCAAGGGCCCAGCCGGCGTCTGAGGGCCTCACACCCCAGCCAGCCTTCCCAAATGGGGCCCATATGGGCTGAAAGTGGGGCATCTGGGCTTAAGTGGGCATGGGCTACATGTGGGCTATTAGCTGGGCTAAATCTTGGTCCCATATGGGCTGAGCCCCAGCAAACATGTCCACATGGGTCCCATATGGGGTGAACATGGGCCAGATGGGCCCACGTGAGACATGGGCTACAGATGGGCTACCCACATGGGCCCCATATGGGATAAAAATGGGCCAGGTGGGCCAAACGCATGTGGGCTGGAGATGGGCATCCCATGTGGGTCCCATATGGGGTGAACATGGGCCAGATGGGCCCACGTGGGACATGGGCTACAGATGGGCTACCCATATGGGCCCCATATGGGATAAAAATGGGCCAGGTGGGCCAAACGCATGTGGGCTGGAGATGGGCATCCCATGTGGGTCCCATATGGGGTGAACATGGGCCAGATGGGCTCACGTGAGCCATGGGCTACAGATGGGCAACCCATATGGGCCCCATATGGGATAAAAATGGGCCAGGTGGGCCAAACGCATGTGGGCTGGAGATGGGCATCCCATGTGGGTCCCATATGGGGTAAACATGGGCCAGATGGGCCCAGTGGGACATGGGCTACAGATGGGCTACCCATATGGGCCCCATGTGAGATAAAAATGGGCCAGGTGGGCCAAACGCATGTGGGCTGGAGATGGGCATCCCATGTGGGTCCCAGATGGGCCCACGTGGGACATGGGCTACAGATGGGCTACCCATATGGGCCCCATAAGGGATAAAAATGAGCCAGGTGGGCCAAACGCATGTGGGCTGGAGATGGGCGTCCCATGTGGGTCCCATATGCGGTGAACATGGGCCAGATGGGCCCACGTGGGACATGGGCTACAGATGGGCTACCCATATGGGCCCCATATGGGATAAAAATGGGCCAGGTGGGCCAAACGCATGTGGGCTGGAGATGGGCATCCCATGTGGGTCCCATATGGGGTGAACATGGGCCAGATGTGTTCAAGTGGGACATGGGCTACAGATGGGCTACCCATATGGGTCCCATATGGGATAAAAATGGGCCAGGTGGGCCAAACGCATGTGGGCTGGAGATGGGCATCCCATGTGGGTCCCATATGGGGTAAACAATGTTTACCCCATATTAAAAACATGGGCCCATCTTGCCCGTGTTTACTAAACATGGGCAAGATGGGCCCAGTGGGACATGGGCTACAGATGGGCCCCATATGAGATAGAAATGGGCCAGGTGGGCCAAACGCATGTGGGCTGGAGATGGGCATCCCATGTGGGTCCCAGATGGGCCCACGTGGGACATGGGCTACAGATGGGCTACCCATATGGGCCCATAAGGGATAAAAATGAGCCAGGTGGGCCAAACGCATGTGGGCTGGAGATGGGCATCCCATGTGGGTCCCATATGCGGTGAACATGGGCCAGATGGGCCCACGTGGGACATGGGCTACAGATGGGCTATCCATATGGCCCCATATGGGATAAAACTGGGCCAGGTGGGCCAAACGCATGTGGGCTGGAGATGGGCATCCCATGTGGGTCCCATATGGGGTGAACATGGGCCAGATGGGCTCACGTGGGACATGGGCTACAGATGGGCTACCCATATGGGCCCCATATGGGATAAAAATGGGCCAGGTGGGCCAAACGCATGTGGGCTGGAGATAGGCATCCCATGTGGGTCCCATATGGGGTAAACATGGGCCAGATGGGCCCAGTGGGACATGGGCTACAGATGGGCTACCCATATGGGCCCCATATGGGATAAAAATGGGCCAGGTGGGCCAAACGCATGTGGGCTGGAGATGGGCATCCCATGTGGGTCCCATATGGGGTAAACATGGGCCAGATGGGCCCAGTGGGACATGGGCTACAGATGGGCTACCCATATGGGCCCCATATGGGATAAAAATGGGCCAGGTGGGCCAATCGCATGTGGGCTGGAGATGGATATCCCATGTGGGTCCCATATGGGGTAAGCATGGGCCAAATGGGCTCACGTGGGACATGGGCTACAGATGGGCTACCCATATGGGCCCCATATGGGATAAAAATGGGCCAGGTGGGCCAAACGCATGTGGGCTGGAGATGGGCATCCCATGTGGGTCCCATATGGGGTGAACATGGGCCAGATGGGCCCACGTGAGACATGGGCTACAGATGGGCTACCCATATGGGCCCCATATGGGAAAAATGGGCCAGGTGGGCCAAACGCATGTGGGCTGGAGATGGGCATCCCATGTGGGTCCCATATGGATCACCCATGTAGGCCCCATTTAAGTTACTCCAAGAGCATAAAAGCAAAAAAGGTGACTGTTGTTCATGTGAATTTTGGGCTCCAAGTACATCAAGTTCATACATGATGCCATATGGGGTCAATGTAGGCTGGCCCATATGGGTCCCATGTGGGGGCCGCGTGGGTCTCATATGGGGCCTACGTGGGCTTACCCATATGGGTCCCATGTGTCACCCAATGCTATTCCCATGTGGGGCCCATATGGAAGAGGTGGGGGCCATGTGGGCCCCATATGGGAACCATGTGGGCATGTTTGCTGGGATATGAACATTTCCTTTACTACAAAATGTTGGTATCTGACCGACACCTATCTGGGCTGGATGCGGGCAGCATGTGGGCAAACTGGACATCAACAAGCTGGGCACACCCAGCCGGGGCCCACATGGGGCCCAGCCGCCCACATGGGCAAAATTTACCACAAAACTTTGTTAACTGACCCGACACCTATCTGGGCTGGATGCGGGCAGCATGTGGGCAGACTGGGCACCAACAAGCTGGGCACACCCATCCGGGGCCCACATGGGGCCCAAATGGGCAAACTTTACTACACTTTGTTAACTGACCCGACACCTATCTGGGCTGGATGCGGGCAGCATGTGGGCAGACTGGGCACCAACAAGCTGGGCACACCCATCCGGGGCCCACATGGGGCCCAAATGGGCAAACTTTACTACACTTTGTTAACTGACCCGACACCTATCTGGGCTGGATGCGGGCAGCATGTGGGCAGACTGGGCACCAACAAGCTGGGCACACCCATCCGGGGCCCACATGGGGCCCAAATGGGCAAACCTTACTACAAAACTTTGTTAACTGACCCGACACCTATCTGGGCTGGATGCGGGCAGCATGTGGGCAGACTGGGCACCAACAAAATGGGCACACCCATCCGGGGCCCACGTGGGGCCCAAATGGGCAAACCCCAGCCAGCATGCCCATGTGGGCCCCACATGGGCAGTTGATGGGCATGGTGGGCTAGGTGGGCCATGGGCTAGAGATGGGCAAATATGTGGGCTGCATGTGGGCCCCACATGGGCTGCCCACATATTTTTTGGCAGGCATAATGCTTGATAATGAGATTGCTTGCACATGTACGAGGGCATATCCAGGAATTTTGGTGAACACAGGCATTCACGCGGTGTTCCTGTATGGTGGGCTTAACATGGGCACTGCGTGGGCAGCCCATGTAGTGGGGTGTAGGTGGGCTGGATGTGGGCAGCCCATTATTTATTTTTTCACTGTCCAATGTGTATGATATTACAAGAAAAAAGAACTCGCTGTTTAGCCTCATGCCTCCAAAATACACTTCGACGTCGTGAGGAAGTCGCATAGTTGATGTTTGTGAGACCAGCTACGGCTGATATTGGACAGTCAATGTTGTGATTGTGTCGTATGATTGTGTCGCCTGAGCCCGCCCCTGCGCGGGCGACCCGCCGGCGGAGCTCGGCCCACCGGACGGGGCCTGGGCCCGCCTCTGCACCGCCCGGGGCGGTGACCGGCCGACCGGCTGACGGGGCTGCGGCGTCTGGGCGGGCCAGTTGGCGTTGAGACTCCGAGTGGTGTGCGTGTCCAATAAAGCCTTAATTCGGGCGGAACTACTGGCCCGGGATCTACCGGGATGTGGAAAATGTCACCCGCTGCTGTACCAGCTGCCAGAGAGATCTACCCGCTCAGCAGCAAGAGACCATGATGAGGAGACCGCTAGCGGAAAGGCCGTTCGAACTAAACATCGACTTTGCCGATCACGCCGGCAGGAAGTACCTCGTGGCAGTGGACAGATACTCCGGGTGGCTGTTTGTCGCCGACCTCGGTGTAAGCGCCCCCGCTTACACCGGTCCGAAGGACGATAGCAGGCGTCATTACGAGCGCACTCGCTACGCGACGAAGCGTAAATGGACGGCACGGGAAAAGGGCTTTCGGCGGTACCCGGCTTTTTGATATCGTGTTCAGTAAGTAATGGTTTTATCTCTTTATTTAATTGCCCAACTCCCTTGGACACCTGATAGCGGATGTCAGAATAACAGCAGCACTCCCATTCATATGTTATTTCAGGTGTCGTCAATTACTGTCCGATTAGCGAATTCCAAGCAGCCGACTTATAAAGCACTAATGTCCTTTGTGTCCATAATAATCGGACCTTGTATGTTTATTCTGCATCAGATTATTTCCTGCAAAAAAAATCTAAAGTTCATTTCTCAATTATTCAAGTCAAATCAGATGATGTTACTTTTAATGCAGGTAATACAGAATCATGGTAGAACACAGCACGGGCAATACACAATTCGCTTATGTGTCTGCACCTTTTACATTGCTGGTGCTTATTTTACAGGAGCCGTGCGGCGGAACGGGCTTACCCAGGACACCAACAACGGCCAGCTGGAGGTGGCGCCACGAAAGTGGTTTACGGGTGCCAGGAACCGCGACGGAGGCCGCCAGGAGAGGAGACCAGCTGGAGGAGCAGATGAGAGAAGAAGTCTAGAGATGAACAGAAGAGAGGAGAGAGTTTAAACAGCATTTTTGTGTTTATCGATAATATACATATTGATCACTGACAGTTTGTTTTGTTGCGGTGGCGAACGTTCAGCAATGATCAGGGGGAGTGATTGAAATAGCAGACATCGATTATATTATAATCATATTGAAATTAATTGTAGGTTCTGGTGGGAACTAAGATGGGCTTTGGTGAATATTTATTGATTAATACAAACGATGCTAGGGAGGTGTGAGCCAGCATGGGGCCCACCTAGGGCCCACATCTGCTGGCCCACGTGGACCCCATATGGTACCCACCTTGAGCCCATGTGGGCCAGCCCAGGTGGGCCACATATGGTACCCATCTTGAGCCCATGTGGGCCAGCCCAGGTGGGCCCCATATGGTACCCACCTTGAGCCCACGTGGGCCAGCCCAGGTGGGCCCCACCATTTACCCAGGGACAAATTTATGTGGGCCCCACATGGGCTGCCCACATGGGTCCCACCAAGTGGCCCACCTGGGCCCCATGTGGGGCCAAGGTAATAATGTTGGCTGGGTATGGGTCCCAGCTGGGTCCCATTTCGAACCCACATGGGCTCCAGGTGGGATTTTTCGCTTATACCCATTTGGGTCCCGGCTGGGAAAGCCCATATGGGACCCATAAGTGCCCCGGCTGGGCCCCATTTGGGTCCCATTTCGAACCGACATGGGCCCCATGTGGGATTTTTCGCTTATATCCATGTGGGTCCCGGCTGGGAAAGCCCATGTGGGACCCATATGTGCCCCGGCTGGGCCCCATATGGGTCCCATTTCGAACCCACATGAGCCCCATGTGGGATTTTTCGCTTATACCCATGTGGGTCCCGGCTGGGAAAGCCCATGTGGGACCCATATGTGCCCCGGCTGGGCCCCATATGGGTCCCATTTCGAACCCACATGGGCCCCATGTGGGATTTTTCAATTATACCCATGTGGGTCCCGGCTGGGAAAGCCCATGTGGGACCCACATGTGCCCCGGCTGGGCCCCATATGGGTCCCATTTCGAACCCACATGGGCCCCATGTGGGATTCTTCAATTATACCCATGTGGGTCCCGGCTGGGAAAGCCCATGTGGGACCCATATGTGCCCCGGCTGGGCCCCATATGGGGCCATCTGGGCTGCCCATATGGGACCCAGTTGGACGCCCATGACAAACACATCTGGGCCCCAAGTGGGCAGCCCAGATGGGCCCCAGTTTGCTGCCCACTTGGGGCCCATATGGGCCCCATTTGGGAAGGCTGGCTGGGACCGGCCTCTGGTGGCCTCATTTCTGTCTCTGGGGTCCCAAGACTAGCCTTTAGGTGCCTTTGAGGGCCCCGCACTGAATTCTGAAGACCCGATGCCGGCCTCTAAGGGTCCGCATCGGCATCTGAGGGTCCACCTTGGCCTGAGGGGTCCAACGGCGGCCCATGCCGGTCTTTTAGGGCCCCACACTGACCTCTAAGGGCCCATGCTGACCTGTAAGGACCCACATTAGCCTATGAGGCCTTGCACGGGATTCTGAAGACCTGATGCCGGCCTCTGAGGCCCATCTTGGTTTTTGAGGGCCTTCTGCTGGTCTCTGGGTTCCAACACCGGCCCATGCCGGTATTTTAGGGTCCCACATTGACCTCTAAGGGCCCCGCACTGGATTCCGGAGATCCGATGCCGGTCTCCAAGGGTCCGCATCGGCCTCTGAGGGCCCACCTTGGCCTATGAGGGCCCTCCGCTGGTCTCTAGGTTCCAAGTCCCGCCCATGCCGGTCTGTTACGGCCCCACACTGACCTCTAAGGGCCCATGCTGGCCTGTAAGGACACGCATTAGTCTCTGAGGGCCTTGCACTGGATTCTGAAGACCCGATGCTGGCCTCTGAGGCCCATCTTGGTTTTTGAGGGTCTTCTGCTGGCCTCTGGGGTCCAACACCGGCCCATGCCGGCATTTTAGGGTCCCACACTGACCTCTGAGGGCCCATACTGGCCTGTAAGGACCCACATTAGCCTCTGATGGCCCAAGTCGGCATCTTAAGGTCTCATCCTGCCCTTTGCAGGCCCTGTACTGGTCTCTGAGGGCCTTAACCCTCGCCGGCCGGGGGGGGGGGGGCGGGTGCCGCCCCTCCATAGGTTTTTTTTTTTCGCGATAGCTCCGAACACGCCGGCGATAGAGAGCTGAAGCTTGGCATACCTGACCTTTGAATCAAACGGGATCTTTTGACACCAACCGCATTTTCGGGTCAGATCAGGTCACTGACCCATGTGGTCATAAGTGAACCTCTGCACGGTCTTCAGATGTCGCAACTTCGCAACGCCCTCACTGCCAGAGGAGATTTCACAGGGAAATGAACCTTGGAGGACCTAATATCCAATAGGAGTCTCTCAGCTTGTATAATGTATATCTCGGATTTTTCCTAAAGTTCATATGAGGTCAGGTCATTTTCGTGACCTCACCATTAGGTATAAGTCAATGGGGATAAACTGAAAACTTTTTCTGGCGCCGGGAACGATCGATCTCCAACTATCTCAAGCACACTGAATCGTGATTTCATGCACTCCTTGCAAGGTTCGATGCGTCACTTTTGCAATGTTGACCTTGCGCGACGTCATTTATGAAGTTATAAGGGTCTTATTAGTTTTTCGTCAATAACTAGGTACCGATCAAATTGAGCTAGCGAGTCGGGAAAGCCACCTATGGACTCAAGAAGACCTGCCAAATCGAATGATATGCGACATGACCTCCTTCGACCAATTTCGTGACCTGGGGACGCCGACCTGACCGTGACCCGAGGTCAACACCCTAAGTTTACCTCAGTCCTCACCCAAACAAAAAGTATATCATTCGACGCGCCTGAGAGAGGCGAACACGATGCTGGCAAAATCGCGGCTCTGCGGCCATTTTTTGCGAAGTTATTCACCAAAAACGGAACCGTGCCTTGAGGCACTTGACCTGACCTCAGAGGTCACCGGTTTTTGTTTGTTTTGTTGGGTTAGGCCCTTTCGGTCCAATGAGACCATTTCAGAGCCGGAAGGATGATAGGATATAGGGGGAGACATTGGTCTGGGCAGGCACCCTAGTGAGTCGCCGGGGCTGAGCCCGTCCAGAGGACAGGCCACCCAGCCCCAAGGCACTCACTGCACCCGGTTACGGGGTGCGCTCCCTCGGGAGCAGCGGTGCCGCTCCAAGGGAGCAGCCCGCATGAGATAAAGTTGCCTGTCCAGCCCGGAAGGGGTTGCGGTGTGGAGGAGAAGGATTTCAGTATCCTGAGGATAGAAGCACGGAACGGTGTCAGAGGTCACCGGTTGACCTAGGACCATAAAATCGGGTATCGATCTCTGCGTCTCGTAACGGCGCACACGCTCGTTTTACCGCGACGCGCTAGCTCCACCTGGGGCGAAACGGCGAGGGGGGTCGTACCCGCCCCCCGCCCCCTCGGCCAGCGCGTATGTAGAAAACCTATAGGACCGGGCCGTGGAGGGTTAAACTGGTCTGAAGCCGACCTCCCGCCACTGTCGCTGCGCGCGAAGCAGCTGGCCGGACAGGAGTGCCAGCGCCTCGCCAGACTCCCCGCACTCGACCCTGCCAGGACCCTCCTGGAGAAGGAGGTGCGGCCCAGGCTGGAGTACCGAGCCCACCTGGCATGGCGGAGAGACTGCACGCAGGCAGAGGCGGCGCGGAGGCCGCCACCGAAGCCGCCCGACGAGGACGCGGTGCTCACCAAGAAGCCGTGTCTCAGGCGGGTGGGCCGGTGGATCGCCGACGAAGCCGGGCTAAAGCAGCTGCCAACTGAACCACTGGCGCTGTACCAGTGCCGGCCGCCCTGGACAGTGGAGAGGACCCCCGCCCACTTTGTGGTGGACCTGCCCGCGCCCACGCGTCGCACAGACCCCCCGACAAGCGCAGAGAGGCGGCGCTCCGGGCCATAGAGCTCCTGCCGCCCGCGGACGTCACCATCTGGTCGGACGGGTCGGCGAGAGAGGGGACGACATGTGGCGGCGCGGGCGCGCTGATCCAGCTCCACTGCCTCGGCCGTGAGGAACGTATCAGGGCCCCGGCCGGCGCAGTGTGCAGCAGCCTGCGTGCCGAGCTTACCGCCATCAGGGAAGCACTGGCTGTGATAACCTCCCTACCTGAAGAAGACCGGGAGTCCGTCCGCGCAGTCCGCCTTTTAACCGATTCCAAGTCCGGCCTGCAGCAGCTCCAGAGGGGACCGGCCGGCCAGGTGACCGCCCTGGCCGCCGACATCTGGGAGTGCCTACACACCCTCAGCGAGCGTGGCACCACCGTCACCTTCCGGTGGGTGCCGGGGCATGCTGGCCTGGACGGAAACGAGCACGCCGACCAGCTGGCCGGTGAAGCGGCCGCTGCGGAGCAGCCGGACGTCCAAATCGACTTCGCCAGCGCCAGAAGCGCGATCGGGCGCCGGCGCGGGTGGGGACGATGGTCGACGCGAGAACAAGAGCGTCCCACCCCCACAAGGCGCCCACACCGGGCCACAACGATCTGTCCCGCTGGGAGGCATGTACCCTCTCCCAGCTGCGGACGGGCGCGTCGCCGCTCACGCGGGATGTCGCCCACCGCCTAGGCCTGGCGGTGGACGCGGCCTGCCCTGCGTGCGGCGAGCCGGACAGCGCGGCCCACCTGCTGACCGACTGTCCGGCCTACGAGGCTGCGCGGCGCCGCCGCTGGGGACTCAACCCGAGCCTGGGGGACGTCCTCGGCGGACCGGCGCCGTTGGTGATTGAATTCATCCGGGCTGTCGGGCGGACCGACCCTCCGGCCGACCCGCCTGCGCCGCCGCCCCCCTAGGGGGGCGGCGGGTGAGGTGCAAAAGAAGAAGGGTTAAACTGGCCTCTGAAGGCCCAGACCGTCTAAAAGTCCCACACCGGCCTCTGATAAGTGATAGTCAATCAGCCCAGTTGCAGTGGGTGCTGATATAAAACCTCTTAAAAACGTTATAGGCCTGGCTGAGCCTAGCTGGGCCGTTCATGCTGATTTTTATAGGTATATTGAAAAGACTCGCTTTGCACGTTTCACGCTTGCTCGTAATGAAAAAGTTGCTGAATGC